TCTCACAGGTACCACGTGACCATTCTGGATAAACTTAAATCTTGAGACTCCTGGTCCTGTGTTCCGGCCACAGCAGGACTGGGCTGCAAGTCTGAAAGCGTTGCCAGGGAGCGCGTGTCCGGGTGTGCGGGGTCGGTGCCCGCGCACGACGCGGCTTCTGAGCGTCGATAAACAGTGCGCGCCATCCTTCTGCATTCCCATTTGGGTGAGGACTGCATTTTCTCATGGATGGAGGGGAATTGTCTTACAGGGATCCCTAAGATTTCCTCCTGCTCTAGAGTGAAATGATGCATTTTGTGTTGTATATCATTGTTAGTTTGAGAAGATTATACAGTGGAAGTGACAAACAGATTCAAGGGATTAAATCTGATAGAGTGTCTGAAGAACTATGGACAGAGGTTCCTGATATTGTACATGAGACAGGAATCAAGCCCATCCCCAAGAAAATGCAAAAGCAGCAAAGTGGCTGTCTGAGGAGGCCTTACAAATAGCTGAGAAACAAAGAGAAGCTAAAGGCAAAGGAGAAAAGGGAAGATATTCCCATCTGAATGCAGAGTTCCAGAGGATAGCAAGGAGAGCTAAGAAAGCCTTCCTCAGTGATCAGTGCAAAGAAATAGAGGAAAAACAACAGAATGGGAAAGTCTAGAGATCTCTTCAAGAAAATTAGAGATACCAAGGGAATATTTCATGGAAAAGTGGGCACAATAAAGGACAGAAATGGTATGGATTTAATAGAAGCAGAAGATATTAAGAAGAGGTGGCAAGAATACACAGAAGAACTATGCAAAAAAGATCTTCACGATCCAGATAACCACGATGGTGTGATCACTCACCTAGAGCCAGACATCCTGGAATGCAAAGTCAGCTGGGCCTTAGGAAGCATCACTACTAACAAAGCTAATGGAGGTGATGGAATTCCAGTTGAGCTATTTAAAATCCTAAAAGATGATGCTGTGAAAGTGCCGCACTCAATGTGCCAGCAAATTTGGAAAACTGAGCAGTGGCCACAGGACTGGGAAAGGGTCAATTTTCATTCCAATTCCAAAGAAAGGCAACGCCAAAGAATGCTCAAACTATTGCACAATTGCACTCATCTCACACACTAGCAAAGTAATGCTCAAAATTCTCCAAGCCAGGCTTCAACAGTATGTGAACTGTGAACTTCCAGATGTTCAAGCTGGGTTTAGAAAAGGCAGAGGAACCAGAGATCAAATTGCCAACATCCGTTGGATCATTGAAAAAGCAAGAGAGTTCCAGAAAAACATCTATTCTGCTTTATTGACTACGCCAAAACCTTTGACTCTGTGGATCACAACAAACTGTGGAGAATTCTTCAAGAGATGGGTATACCAGACCACCTTACCTGCCTCCTGAGAAACCTGTATGCAGGTCAAGAAGCAACAGTTAGAACTGGACATGGAACAATGGACTGTTTCCAAATTGGGAAAGGAGTACATCAAGGATGTAATTGTCAACCTGCTTACTTAACTTATATGCAGAGTACATCATGTGAAATGCCAGGCTGGATGAAGCACAAGCTGGAATCAAGATTGCTGGGAGAAATATCTATAACCTCAGATATGCAGATGACACCACCCTTATAGCAGAAAAAGAAGAGGAAGTAAAGAGCTTCTTGATGAAAGTGAAAGAGGAGAGTGAAAAAGCTGGCTTGAAGCTCAACATTCAAAACACGAAGATCACGGCAAGTAGATGGGGAAATAATGGAAATGACAAATTTGTTTTCTTGGGTTCCAAAATCACGGCAGATGGTGACTGCAGCCATGAAATTAAAAGACACTTAGTTCTTGGAAGAAAAGTTATGACCGACCTAGACAGCATTGAAACATGTATATTATCTAGGGTGAAACAGATCACCAGCCCAGGTTGGATGCATGAGACAAGTGCTCGGGCCTGGTGCACTGGGAAGACCCAGAGGGATCGGGTGGAGAGGGAGGTGGGAGGGCGGATCGGGATGGGGAACACATGTAAATCCGAGGCTGATTCATGTCAATGTATGACAAAGCCCACTACAATATTGTAAAGTAATTTGCCTCCAACTAATAAAAATAAATGAAAAGAATGAAAAAAAAAAAAAGAAAAAGCATAGACATTACTTTGCCAACAAAGTAGTCCATCTAGTCAAAGCTATGGTTTTTCCAGTGGTCATGTATGGATGTGAGAGTTGGACTCTAAAGAAAGCTGAGCACCAAAGAATTGATGCTTTTGAACTGTGGTGTTGGAGAAGACTCGAGAGTTCCTTGGACTGCAAGGAGATCCAGCCAGTCCATCCTAAAGGAAATCAGTCTGGAATACTCATTGGAAGAACTGATGCTGAAGCTGAAACTCCAGTACTTTGGCCACCAGATGCGAAGACCTGACTCATTTGAAAAGACCCCGATGCTGGGAAAGATTGAAGGCAGGAGGAGAAGGGGACGACAGAGGATGAGATGGTTGGATGGCATCACAGACTCAATGGACATGAGTCTGAGTAGGCTCCGGGAGTTGGTGATGGACAGAGAGGCCTGGTGTGCTGCGATTCATGGGGTTGCAAGGCGTCAGACACGACCTAGTGCCTGAACAATAGCAGAATGTTTGAACTGAAAGAAGGCCAGCCCCTGTGGATGCTGGGGTCAGAGGTGAGACTGTTCCACAGGGGCGGGTCAGGGTCATGCACGCATTGTAGGCCACAGAAAGGGTTTTGGTCTCTAGTCTAAGAGCAATGAAAAGCCATGGCGTCGTATCTTCCGCAGGGTCAGACATTATCGGATTTGAATTTTTACTGTTTTACTTTTTAAAAATACTCACTCCTGTGGCTGCCTCGCGTATCATTTGCGGCCTGTGGAGTCTGGCTCCCTGCCGGGGCTCAGACCCTGAGGAGACAGCGCTCACAGCCTCTGATGCTGTTAGAGTCAGCCGGAGCAGGGACTCCCGGGGTGCCCTTGTGCGGATGCAGGTGAGGCCTGTGCCCGGGGGGCTGTCTGCAGGTGGAGCAAAGACAGAACCCGGGAGCGAGGAGGGTCGGGCAGGCGGTGAGCCGCGCTGTCGGGCGAGGGCGCCCTAGGGAGTCACGCAGGCCACTGCCTCAGTTCCACGTTAGCAAAAATGCTCTAGACTGGATGGCCTAAAAAACAAACGCCATTCCTCACTGTCTGGAGCCTGGGAAGCTCAAGTCAAAGCGCCGGCTGACCTGGCGTGTGCTAAGACCCTCAGTGCGCAGAGGTCTTCTCACTAGCGGTCCGTTCCTGTAGAAACAGTGATCGCAGCATGGGCGTGTAGGGGACCACATTTTGCCACCCGAAGGTGTCTTTGGTACGTGGATTACTTTGACCTAAAAACAATCAAAGCCCAGAAGGACTCCAGAGGAAAATCTGACCTTTGACCTAAAAAAATGTAGATAGAGGACTCGTTCCAGGAAAGGAGCGCTCAACGTGGATGACCCGAGTCCGAGCTGTGTGCGCAGACGGGGAGGCCCCTGAGGAAGTCTGTCTGTCCAGATTCCGCTCTGTGTCCTGTTGTGTCTGCACGCCACCGCAAGCATTTGTTTACCAAATGTGCTTTTTTGTCTTCGTCTGAGTCTCTTTCGTCCTCTTTGGAGTCCTGAACCACAACCCCCATCATCCTCTCTTGACTTCGGTGGTGTTTAAGGCTGGGGTTTTGCCCATTTTGGTGAGTTACTCAGTTTCCCGTGTCTCTCCCCCTGTACATATAATTTAACTTTTGTATAACTTTGTCCTGTTAATCCGTCTCATGTCCGTTTAATTCATAGACCAGCCAGAAGAACCTACAAAGGTACAGGAAACTTTCTTCCTCCCTAACGGAGCTCCCCACTCATGAAATAATCACTTCCCAAAGTCCCCGTCCCTAAATTGTACCACATTTGTCTTTAGTGTTTCAACATATGTAAATTTTAGGAAGAGACAAGCATTAAGTCCATAGCGAGTAATCCAATGATTTGGGAAAAGGAATCATGCCTTTAGGAAAGAAATATGAGACGTTTTTTAGAGAGGGTGCAATTTGGTTAGTAACTCCCTTTCAAGAAGGCTAAACTGAATACTGAGCTTCCCAGGTAGCAGAGAGGTAAAGAATTCACCAGCCAATACTGGAGACTAAGAGATGTGGGTTTAATCCCTGGGCCAGGAAGTTCCCCTGGAGTAAGAAATGGCAACCCACTCCAATATTCATGCCTGGAAAATCCCATGGACAGAGGAGACAGGCAGGCTATAGTCTGGGGGGTCACAGAGGCAGACATGGCTGATCAGCTGATCACAGACACAAACTGATTACAGTTTGCTAAAGCTAGAGTTTTGGATTGCACTTTCAGTGTTCTTACTAATCACCAGGAAAAGATGCCTCTTGTTCACTTCTGAAGCAGCTCCTTGTCTTGATGGCCGCGTTTGGGGCAGCACTCAGCAGCCACGTCTGTCTGTCTGAGAGCCTTGCTGTGACACTGCTCGGAGGCCTGGGATGTAGGATTTCAACTGAATGATTTTCCTTCTATGTAGGTTTCTTTTGCTTTTTTTTAAATTGGAGTATAGTTGATTTACAGTATTATTAGTTTCAGGTGTACACCATCGTGATTCCAAATTTTCATAGATTATTCTCTGCTGGGGCTTCGTCGGTGGCTCAGCCAGTAAAGAATCCACCTGCAATGCAGGAGACCCAGATCCAGTCTCTGGGTCGGGAAGATCCTCTGGAGAAGGAGAGGGCAACACACTCCAGTATTCTTGCCTGGAGAATCCATGGATGGAGGAGCCTGGCGGGCTACAGTCCGTGGGGTCGCAAAGAGTCGGACAGGACTGAGCGACTAACACTTTCACTTTTATACTGTATTTGAAGTTGTTATAAAATATTGTCTATATTCCCCGTGCAGGACCACATCTCCCTGCAGCCTGTTCATCTTACACATGGTCGTTTGTGCCTCGTAACCCCCTCCTCCCGTCTCTCCCCGCTCCCCACTGGTACACGCAGGCTGCCTTATTTCCTTTCCTCTCCTCCGCCAGGTTGATGAGCCCCGAGAACACGCTCCTGCAGCCCCGGGAGGAGGAGGGGGTCAAGTACGAGCGCACCTTCATGGCCTCGGAGTTCCTGGACTGGCTGGTGCAGGAGGGGGAGGCCACGGCGCGGGAGGAGGCCGAGCAGCTCTGCCGGCGGCTCGTGGAGCACGGCATCATCCAACACGGTGAGCGCGCCTTCCCTGAGCCCGGCGCACGCCCGCGGCCGACGCTCTTCCCTCTCCCGGCTTCTGCCTGGGCTCAGCCCAGCTCACCTTTAAGCTGGGGGTCAAGTTCACGTTTCATGCCTTCTCATTCTGGGACTCAGACCAAAGGAGCATCCACTCTCTGGCATATATTGTGGGTTGTTGTGTTTTTTTTTCCTTTGGGAATATATTGTTTTGATGGATGAGGCCCCAAGTACGAGCAAGCAGGCAGATTCTTGCAGTGTCTCCAAAAATCTCTGCTTGGGTGAAATTAAAGGCCACAGCTTCACATCCGACTGGCTACAGCTGGTCATCTGGTCAAGTCTGGATGGGAAGCAGATGGCCCTAACACAGCTGGTTGCAGTGGAAGAGTGAAGATTTGCTGAACTGTGGTTCAAGCTGTCATGCTGAAGAAGCATCCAAAAGGCCTTCATCAGATTTCCCCCCACCTTTTTTTAAGGGCTGAATCATAATACTGCAGTAGATTAGTAGCATATTGTTGAAGAATCGTATTAGTTACCTATTGCAGTGTAAGGAGTTCCTCTAAAACGTAATGCTATAAAATAATAGTGTTTATTACCTGGTACAGTTTCTGTGGGTGGGGAGTCTGGAGAGGCATAGCCGGTGGTTTGGCTTGGCGGTCTCTTATGAGGCTGGAGTCGAGACGTTGTCCAGGGTGACAGTCTTCCGAAGCCCTGGCAGTCCAGAGGGTCTCCTTCACAGCGCTCACTTGGATGTGCACCAAGTCATTGCTGGCTGTTGGCAGGAAACTTCTGCCCATTGCTCTGTAGACTTCTTCATAAAGCTGCGTGGGAATTCTCATGACATGGATCAGGCTTCTTCCAAAGGCCGTGATCCAAGAGAATGTGGGCAGAAGCCACGGTGGCTTTAGCAGAGCCTCGGAGTCACACACGGTCATTTCTGCTTGTTGGCAGGTCAGTCCCGTTCAGTACGAGAGAGGATGTGTGAGGGTGTGACTGCCAGAAGCGGGGATCACTGAGCCCCCTCAGTTCCCATGAGGCTGGTTCCCACAGGAACACAGGCTCTGGAACCCCAGCACCACTGGTTACCAGCTACTTACCCTCTCTCATCTGTAAAATGGGCGAGCTTGCGTAGGGTGCTTGTGGGTGTAAACGAGGCAGACACACAGTGCTTGCTTCAGTGCTCTGCTCTGAGTAAGTGCTCGACTGATTCGTTTTCTTTGTAAATATTTTGACTTATTTGTCCATCTGTTTGGCTTTGTCGGGTCTTAGTTGTGGCCTGGGGGATCCTTCACTGCGGTGCGGGGACTCTAGCTGTGGCTCCAGAGCACGCGGGTTCATTGCTCTGAGGCTTGTGGGAGCTTGGTTCCCTTACCGGGGATCGAACCTGTGTCCCCAGCACTGCAAGGCAATCCTTCACCCTGGATCACCAGGGAAGTCCCTCAATCAATTAATACAGCAGCGATCGTAGGCTTAGAACAGTGAATAAACGGCGGAGCTAGATAAGCATTTCGGCCTAGGAGTCAGTAGGAAAGGAAATACCTGAATCATTCTTGCTATAAACTCCCCTCCCCACACTTCTACACAGGCCTAGAATTTCTGCCCCAGGGTTAGGGAAAAAACAGTGAAATTATAGAGATGAAAGAAACTTTTGAAATTATTTGGAGCAGTGTTTTACAAACTTCAGATTGTAACCCTTTAATGGGTTTAAAAGGGCTTCCCTGATAGCTCAGCTGGTAAAGAATCTGCCTGCAATGCAGGAGACCTGAGTGTGATCCCTGGGTTGGGAAGATCCCCTGGAGAAGGAAAAGGCTACCCATCCAGTATTGTGGCCTGAAGAATTCCATGGACTCTATAGTTCATGGGGTCAAAAACAGTTGGACGTGACTGAGCGACTTTCACTTCAGTGGGTTTAAATGTTTAAATTAAAATATTAAGAAAAATTTTAGCACAGGGAACTGTATTTAATATCCTGTGATAAACCATAGTGGAAAAGAATATGAAAAAGAATATATGTATAACTAAGTCACTTTACTGCCTAGCAGAAATTCATAGAACATTGTAAATCAACCGTACTTGAATAAAATTTTTTTAAAAAGGAACCACTAAAGAAAAAAAAATTTTTTTTCAATAGACTAGATTAGACTGTCATAATACTGCTCAAGGTATGGTCCATGGATCCTCAGGGTCACCTCGGAATGTGGCAGAAATGCAGAATCTCTGGTACTACCCACGTCCCACTGAATCTGATCTACATCTTAGCATAACCTTACGTGATTCAAATGCACTTTAAAAGTCTGAGAGGCAGTGGATTGGATTTCACTAGAATAAATCTCAGAGCACGTTTTATATAGTAATGTCAAGGATTGCTTTGCAAAATATTTCAGTTAGAAATATGCTGTATACATCGAAACATGTATATTATCTAGGGTGAAACAGATCACCAGCCCAGGTGGGATGCATGAGACAAGTGCTCGGGCCTGGTGCACTGGGAAGACCCAGAGGGATAGGTTAGAGAGGGAGGTGGGAGGGGGGAGCAGGATGGGGAATACATGTAAATCCATGGCTAATTCATTTCAATGTATGACAAAAACCACTGCAATGATGTAAAGTAATTTGCCTCCAACTAATAAAAATAAATGGAAAAAAAAAATACGCTGTATAAACATTTGGCCATGGTCACGTGTGCCGTGATTGGTAACAGAAAAACTTACTGTGCGCTTGGTTCAGACACTTTGGAAACCACTGACCGGGAAGCACTGGTTCGAAAGGCACTCAAGCCACTCAGTGGTTTGGGGGTGCTTTCTCCTTTCTGATGTTGCCACAGTCACACTCACAACTGTTCACTGATGGTCTAATATGTCTACAACTGGGCTATTGATTGAGATTTGAAAGGTGACTAGAATTGTAAAATGTCAGTGTGGTCCCTGGCCTTAAACAGCTTGTAGTCTTGTAGGGATTATAAAATGGATATAGAAGCAGTTAGAGAGTAATCGAAGATGTATGCTGTATTTTATTTGTTTATTTAATTTATATTGTGTGCCAGACATTTTTATAGTGATTTTGCACATTAACTTTTTGAAACCTCTTTAACTTTTGGAGGCAGATATATATATATGTATAATATATGTATATATATTTTTTCCGTGTCAGATGGCATGTGGGATCTTAGCTCCCCTACCAGGGATTGAATGCATGCCCCCTAAAAGTCTCAGTCGTGTCCGACTCTTTGTGACCCGATGGACTATACAGTCCATGGAATTCTCCAGGCCAGAGTACTGGAGTGGGCAGCCTTCCCCTTCTCCAGGGGATCTCCCCCCGGGGAAGCCCTGAGGCAGACTTTCCATAGAGTTGGCCCAGACGTTCTTTGGGTTTTCTCGGCACGTTGTGTGGACACACCCGAAGGAACATCTTGGCTGGCCCAGTAGTTGTTCTTGTTTGTGCTCTGCTGTGTCCACCTCTGTGCGGCCCCGTGGATTGGGGCCGCCAGGCTCCTCTGTCCGTGGGATTCTCCAGGCAAGAGTGCTGGGGTGGGTTGTCATTCCCTCCTCCAGGGGATCCTCCTGACCCAGGGATCAAACCCGCGTCTCCTGTATCTCCTGCATTGAGATTCTTTACCACTGAGCCGCCTGGGAAGCTATGTTGCTGTTGTTAAACGTATCTTATTATCGTAAGAACAACTAACGTGAGATCAACCCTCTTAACACAGTTTTAAGTGAACAAATTAGTATCATTAACTGTAGGGCAGGTATTTTTATTATCGCCATTTAAACAGATAAGGAAGCCAAAGCATCAATAGGTTAAGTTATTTTTCTGAGGCCACTTAGGTAGTAACATCCAAGTGGGTATTATTGGTAGTATGCGTGAACTCAGAATTGATTGGAGTGACTGGGACTTTCCATTGGTGAAAATGCCATTTGGGTTGGAGTTCGTACTGTCATTTTTGCTCCAGACAGAAAACTTGGTGATAGCAAGTTCTAGAGAAAACCAACTTTTTATACTACCATTTGCTGACTGATGCTATACACCTCGACTTCAGAGAGAAGACAGAGGATGCCACAAATTGTTTCCAAATGATTTCCAAAGAGTAAGAAATTACACCTCAATTATAGTGTAATTCTGTAATGCTATAAACGTAAATGCTGCAGTGTTGTGACAAAGGATAAAACAGGGTGTTACTGATTTGTTTTCCATGGTTTTAGGAGGATTGAATATCTCTATATAGAGCAGTCAGAGTTTCCAAGGGAGTTCCCATTTCTCAGCCCAGCAATTCATTGCTAGATCACAGATTCTAACTTTGAATTGTGAAAATTTGACACCACATATGTGTATGTTAGAGTTAATGATAAATACCAGTGAGTGTTTTAAGCCAAGCTCTGAGTTGTTCAGCTAATAATTAGTTTCACTGGTTAAACATTAAAGAAAGTCAACCTTTAGGCTTTGAGCAAAAGATTTCTGGATAAAAGTGGTTCCCTAGCTTAAAACCAGTAGGCGTAAAAATCAGGCCCACTTATGAAATCCTGACCAGCTTCATTTATGAATGGTGCTCTTTAATCAAGACAGAATTTGTTAGCTGAGTAACTAGCTTGCATGAAAATGTATATGAATGTGCGTATATAGAAATGCTCCTACATGTTCACATGTATGTGATTATACACCTGTGTGGATGTTGGTTAGTATGTACATATTTATCTAGATTTTTCATTTATTGAGGTTTACCACGTACCAGGCACTAAACATGTTACAAATTTTAATGTATAAATACATTGTGTATTTAATATTTACATTTCACATAGGTGACATATATTGTATATATAATCTCATTAAACCCTCACAGCAATTCTGTGACATTGGTATTACTATTATTATTATAGTTTTACAGTGAAGAAATCTGGAATTCAAAGCTTTAAGATATTTTTCCAAGGTTGCATAGCTAACCAGTAGCTACTAGTCCTTGTGCCTTAGAAAGGTGTTTACCTTGGTCCAGGATGTATGGATTGA